GTGATGACCTGCACTTTGAATTGGGATTGGAAACTTATCGACAACCAGTGGAGCTGTTTTAATAGGGGCATTATCTGCTCCCTATAATTAGCTCCAGTTAGCAACCTGGCTGCCAACCTTTGCACCATTTCCAGTTTCACAAAGATGTTGGAGTTGTCATGGACAACAAGTTAAACATGAGCCAACCATTTCATGAGGCGGCAAAAAAAAAGCCAGTGGGATTTTGGCCTAGATAAATAGGAGTATAGTGTCTGGATCCAGGGAAGTAATGCTACCCCTCTATTCTGCCTTGTAGGTCAAAGCCAGAAAGGGAAAGCAACCATTCCCATGGGAACATTGTGGTTTCCTCTCAGGAGGAAGGTGCTTGTTTACTTTCCAGACAAGCTGCGTATCCAATTTCTTTCTTAAAAGCTTTCAATAGTAACCCTGTCCCTAGAAGTGCTCCATATTGTGGTCTCAGATTCCTGCTCTGCAGTTCCCATACAGTGATTGGCTTCAGCAGATTTTATGGCTTGATCCAGAAATCCTGCTGAATTTTCAAATTGCACCCATTCCATTTGCATGCATTTTGCAGCACACATTGGGAGTGTACATTTTGTAGACATCCTGACGTTGAGCTCACTGCAAATTGGATTTTAGTACTTGTGTAGAAGGGACCTTTACTTCCTGTGAGCATACATTTTTGTTCATAAGAAGAAATCAAATGTTAGTCTTGCTTGAAGTAATCGCACTTAAATTATTGGAAACTGTTAGTCACAACTAACAAGCCCACGGATTTATTCCACATAAGGCAGTATCTTGTGTACTTTAGTATATTCTCCATTTGTATTCAGCCAGATAATAAAAAAGACTACAACATTTAAGTAGGCATCAAAGTAAAGGGAAATTGGGTCTTCTGGGAGTAACTTTAACATCTTATCAGCATTTGCTGAGTGAAAGTTTAAAGAGACAATATGTTATTTTTTTAAAAAAAAATCAACAGAATCAGTGCAGAAAGTTGCTCCTACTTAGACAAGTGGTGCCAAAAAGAGTATGATTAAGCAATGAATGTGCTGTGAACTGAGTAGGAAGCAAAGAGCATTTCTAAGAAGTCAATTTTATTTTTCCAATGCCTCCAAATCCTCCAAATCCTCTACCTCATGACTGAGTTAACCCATGGTAATTCAAAGAATGCAGCTCAAAAAAGTCCATTTAGATAAATTGCCCAGCAGGAAAATAGTGATACTCTTCCTAGATATAGAAAAAGTATTTGATAGCCTACATTAGGACTTTATGGTGGAAGTTCTGCAAGCACATGATATGAGAGATCAATTTACAAAAACAATAGGAACTATATACAAAGACATATATGCATAGTTGATAATCAATGGGGGAAAAACACAAAGAATCAAAATAAGGCATTGTACCAGGCAAGGCTGTCTGCTATTGCCACCTCTGTTTATTATGTTTATAGAGATGTTTGTAAGCAAATAAATGAGAATAAGGAGATAAAGGGTGTTTGGGCAGCAAGAAAAGAGTACAAGATTTGAGCCTTTGCCGATGATATTGTGCTGACTTTGGAAAACCCAATGACTCAACGAAAGAATTAAATAATACCCCGACAAACTTCTCAGAATTAGCTGGGTTAAAGGTAAACAAAGAGAAAAGTCATTTTTAAACAAAGAACCTGACAGAATCAGAAAAAACAAGAACTAACAGAATATACAGAATATAATATTGTACAGAAAGTCAAATATCCAGGAAAATACTTTACAAAGAAAAATTCAGAGCTATTCAAAAATAACTACAAACAAAATTCAAAATGTGGCTAAAAGATATCTCAAAATGTATTTGGGCTGGGGGAAAAAACAAGAGTATAAATGAAGATACTTGATGATAAAACAAGTGGTAACTTATCTCTTCAAAATTTACAACTCTACTTTCATGCATGCTGTTTGGACTAGATTAAAGAATGGATGACCTTAGAAGACAATGAGCTGCTAGATTTAGAAGGCATAAATCTCCCATTTAGATGGCATGCATATTTGGACATGCAAAAGGCCAAACCAACAGGCATATTTAATGACCATTATATATGGAGACCAATCTTAAACACCTGGAACAGGTGTTTAAAAATGTACATAAAGACACCAGAGTAGATGTCCCCACATGAGGCGTACTACAAAAGGGAGAACATCTTACAAGGGAAATGGTTAACCTACAGCAAGCAGATCCAGACCGACTCAGAAAATGCAGAAATGAAACCCTGAGAAAAATTGTACCAAATGGGCACTAAAGGCAATTGGCTTTTATGTAGATAGCTGCATGAGAACTTTAAAGAACAACTTAGAACCTTGGGCTTCCAGACTGCAAAAACATGGTTTGCTGAGGCAATGTTCCAAAAACCAAAAGGACTTACATCATATATATACAAAAATCTACTGACTTGGCACACAGAAATGGAAGTAGTAAAAGACTCAATGGGCTCAAAACATAGGCCAAGAGATAAAAATGACCCAATAGGGAAATACATAGAAGAGAAGAATGAAATACATGGCATGTCAGAACCTGAAGGAAAATGTCTACAAAACGCATCTACTTTGGTATCTCCATCCAGAGAGACTAACAAAGATGTACAATTGCACCAACAAATGTTGGAAATGTGGGAAAGAAAAAGGCACATTTTACCACATGTAGTGGACATGTAACAAAGTAAAAAGCTACTGGAAACAGATTCATGTATATCTCAAAAAGATATTAAACATAAATTTCAAAATGACACCAAAACTGTACCTTTTGAACATGCCAGAACTAGAAAGGAAATTCTAGTTCTAGTTCTGTTTTATATGACAGTGGCAGCATGAATAGTATATGCTAGATATTGGAAAACCTCAGAGGTATCTCCCTTAGAAGAATGGGAAAAATAAATTATAGATTTGCTAAAAATGGACAAAATAATTGTATTCTTAAGAGAACTATTAGATAACTTTGTTAATGAATGGCAACCAGTGAATGAATGGCGAAGCTGCAGCCCTTCCCCATTAAATTAAGGAGCACCAGGAGACTGCCTTCATTGTGAGCTGGGAGAGGAGAGTGAGTGAGGCTAATGCTAGGCACACAGTAGACTACATTGAACAAGGCTAGGAGGGCTGAGTGACTGCTATTAGGAGGAATCAGACTGCTGGGAGATTTCTATATTTATTTTATTATACTTCTATAGTTTAATTTATTGTTCTGCTAAGGAGTGGCTTTGTTGTTCATTCATTTTTTACTCTTCTGACCTCAAGGACGAGCCCACGCCAGAGCTCCCTGTTGGCCATCACCTCCCCCAGCTCCTTCAGAGTCAAGCCAGTCACTTCAAGGATGCCATCCATCCATCTTGTCCTTGGTCAGCCCCTCTTCCTTTGTCCTTCCATTTTCCCCAGCATCACTGTCTTTTCTAAACTGTCCTGTCTCCTCATTATGTGGCCAAAGTACTTCAATTTTGTCTCTAATATCCTTCCCTCCAATGAGCAGTCGAGCTTTATTTCCTGAAGTATGGACTGGTTGGATCTTCTTGCGGTCCAAGGCATTCTCAGAACTTTCCTCCAGCACCACAGTTCAAAAGCATCTATCTTCCTTCGCACAGCCTTCCCTATGATCCAGCTCTCACATCCGTAGCTGACTACGGAGAATACAATTGCTTTAACTATACGGATCTTTGTTGCCAGTGTGATGTCTCTACTCTTCACTATTTTATCAAGATTGAACATTGCTCTCCTCCCAAGAAGTAAGTGTCTTCTGATTTCCTGGCCACAGTCTACATCTGCAGTAATCTTTGCACCTAGAAATACAAAGTCTGTCACGGCCTCCACATTTTCTCCCTCTATTTTCCAGTTGTCAATCATTCTTGTTGCCATAATCTTGGTTTTTTTATGTTTAGCAGCAACCCAGATTTTGCGCTTTCTTCTTTCACCTTGATTAGAAGGCTCCTCAGCTCCTCCTCGCTTTCGGCCATCAGAGTGGTGTCATCTGCATATCTGAGGTTGTTAATGTTTCTTCTAGTAATTTTCACCCCAGCTTCGCATTCATCAAGCCCCGAACATCACATGATGTGTTCTGCATACAAGTTGAATAGGTTGGGAGAGAGTATAGAAGCCTGCCATACGACTTTCCCAATTTTGAACAAGTCTGTTGTTCCATGTTCAGTTCTTACTGTTGCTACTTGGTCCTCATACAGATTCCTCAGGAGAGAAACAAGGTGATTTGGTATCCCCATACCAACAAGAACTTTCCACAATTTATTATGATCCACACAGTCAATAGTCAATAAAACAGAAATAGATGTCTTTTTTTCCCCTGAAACTCCCTGCCTTTCTCCATTACCAGCAGATATTGGCAATTTGGTTTCTCGTTCCTCTGCCTTTTCCAAACCCAGCTTATACATCTGGCAACTCTCTGTCCATGTATTGCTGGAGTCTTCCTTGCAGGATCTTGAGCATTATCTTACTGGCATGAGAAATAAGGGCCACTGTCTTTAGCATTTCCCTTTTTTGGTATAGGGATATAAGTTGATTTTTTCTAGTCTGATGGCCATTCTTGTGTTTTCCATATTTGTTGGCATATGGCATGCATCACCTTGACAGCATCATCTTTCAAGATTTTAAACAGTTCAGGAGGGATCCCATCGTCTCCTGCTGCCTTGTTGTTAGTAATGCTTCTTAAGGCCCATTCAACTTCCCTCCTCAGGATGTCTGGTTCTAATTCGCTCACCACACCATCAAAACTATCCTCAATATTATTATCCTTCCTATACAGATCTTCTGTATAGTCTTGCCACTACTGGAAGCAAAAGTTGTTTTTCTCCAAAACAATTCTGTGGGTGGGAAACTCTTCTCAATTATTTAATCAGATACTGCATCTGCTAGGGTGACTGGGGAAACAGTCCCAAAGCTTTAGGAGTTTTCCAACACCATTCTGTGGGGCGTGGGGATGTGAATGTTTGTTGGTGCAGTTGTTTCTTTTTTTCGTTTTGGGCAATCATGGAGGATCCTGTGGAAGCAGACCAGTACCGGAGATATGTCTCCGAAGGAAAGCAAGAGTCCCGTAACGGGAACCTGGAGGAATCCATCCGACTGTTCAGACAAGCTTTACAAATCCACCCCAGCGAAAAGCTGACCAAAATATCAAAAAGTTGGAGGAAGCCTTGGCTTCTTTGACCCTGGACCAGGAGGAGGATGGCTTTGCGGATGTCTGTCAGAGCGGGTTGACGATGTACGGAGAAATGTACGACAAGCTCTTTGACCACCAGAGAGAAGGGGTGGCCTTCTTGTACGGCTTATACAGAGATCGAAGGAAAGGGGGCATCTTGGCCGACCACATGGGCCTGGGCAAGACCATTCAGATCATTGCTTTCCTTTCAGGCATGTTTGATGCGGAACATATCCAATCCATGCTGTTAATTGTGCCAACTACCCTCATTAGCAACTGGACAAAAGTGTTTTCCAGCTGGACTCCAGGCCTGTGTGTGAAAGTCTTTCATGGGACTTGCATAGCTGAACGCAACTGAAATCTTGAGCGGCTCCAGGGGAGGCATGGCGTCCTAATCACAACGTACCAAATGCTGCTCAACAATTGGCAACAGCTTGCCAGCTTCAGCAATAAGGAGTTTGTTTGGGACTATGTCATCCTCGATGAAGCACACAAAATTAAAACTCCATCGGCCAAAATGACCAAATTGGTGCATGCCATTCCTTCCAAAAACCACATCCTTCTCACAGGGACCCTGGTGCAAAACAACCTGAAAGAACTCTGGGCCCTCTTTGACTTTGCTTGCCAGGGCTCACTACTTGGGACCATGAAAACCTTTCAGATGGAGTATGAGAATCCGATCACCAGAGCCAGAGCGAAGGATGCGACTCCAGGAGAGAAGGCGCTGGGCCTTAAGATCTCTGAAAACCTGATGTCCATCATCAAGCCCTATTTCCTAAGACGCAGCAAAGATGAGCTAAAGAAGACAGTTAATCGAAAACCGTATGAAGAAGGTAGTGAAATTTATGAGTTAGATGCTGCAGTGCCATTTGAGGCACAAACCGATAATACCAGCATCGTTTCAGAAATCTGAAACGATGCTGGAAAATGAATCCTTCACTACTCCTTCCCCATACCCGGCTGATTTCAACCTCGATTTCAACCTTGACTCTGAAGACGGACCACAAGTTGTCTCAGGAGAGGAAATATCACCGGAGGAAACGGAAAATGAAGGATTTCAGCTGCAGCTGGACAGTCACCATAGCTCTGAATCTCATTCTTGGGCTGGAGAAAATGAAGGCAATGGAAGCCTCCAGCCTAGGAAAGATACAATGGAGTCTCAGCTTCTGGAAGGCTTTAACAAGCTTTCCGATGCTTCAATGGACAACAGTGAGGCTTCTTTTAAATATAAGAAGCCAATCAGAAGAATAGTCTCAGGCGATAAAGAGGAGCAACATGAACTTGATGACAGCGAGCATGGGAAAATATCAGCCTCGAACAGCATGGGTCAGATCTATATGTCAACCCCAAAGGCCAAAGAGCCCATGGCCGATCTCTGCTTCTTTCCAAGACTGAAGGTCAGTGGAAGACGGTCAACCACCTCTCGAAGATCCCTGGCCAATTTGGCCATGGATCAGGTGGAAGACATGGCAGAGGTGGTGGAACCTGGGAGCGAAATGAGCAAGAGCTACAGCAATCAGGAGCCATTGGAGCTGGAAGAAGAGCCCTCGGGTGAGACACAGGACTCGGAGGACAAATCCAGCAATATGCATGAGATAGGCTTTCTTGGGGATGAGTCTTTGTTTTGAAGCACTTCGGAAGGGCCAGCCCTGCTCTTTTTGAGATAATTATCGTCGACAGGAGAAAATACAATATCATTCCTCTATTGCTGGCACACATCCTGAGTTTTCTTCTATTTGCACACTTTTGAGATCTGGAAAGTATAGTGATAAGATGAATTTGAGTTGCTCACTGAACTTTGGCAGAAGTCTTACAGACAATGAAGGATTTCAGCTGTGGCTGGACAGTCACCATAGCTCTGCATCTCATTCTTGGGCTGGAGAAAATGAAGGCAATGGAAGCCTCCAGCCTAGGAAAGATACAATGGAGTCTCAGCTTCTGGAAGGCTTTAACAAGCTTTCCGATGCTTCAATGGACAACTGTGAGGCTTCTTTTAAATATAAGAAGCCAATCAGAAGAATAGTCTCAGACAATAAAGAGGAGCAACATGAACTTTTAAATAAATTTTTATTGTGCATTTTGATATTTACAATGAGACCAAAGAAGTGAGAATAGAAGCAGATATAGGCTACTGAAGCTAAAACAGTTTCTTTAAGAAAGGAAGAAAAAAGGGAAGAAAGGAAGAGAAGACCATCCATACAGAGCACCAATATCACCACCCACCCTGTTGGTCGCTAAAAAGTAATTGTAGTAGTCCTTCCCAAAATCTTCTGAGAGTTAAGTGGTATTTGGCTTGCTTTAGAAACAGTTCAGTCTATTCTTCTCATAATCACTTTAAACATTGGTTCTCTTGTCAGAAGTTGGACAAGTCTATCAAAAGTGGTATCTTTCTTGATATAATAAAGTCTCTAAGACCTGACCAGTCTGTTTTTTTCGGGGTATTATTCAGTTTTTGTGTTAGGCAGTCCATTTGCCCCAAATAAAATATTTTGATTATCCAGTCTTCCGCTCTTGGGATTTCGTCTTGTTTCCATAGTCTTGCAATTTGTAGTCTGGCTGCAGTGCTGACTAAGAAAAGCATCTTGTCCTGGTTTTTGGTTAGTTTTCTTTCAGCTATCCCTAATAGGTATGTCTCTGGTTTAAGGGGATAATTGGCTTTTAGAATTTTTTGGGTCATGGAGTGTATTTCCTTCCAATATTTCTTAATTCTCTTGCATGTCCACCATGTGTGTACGAATGTCCCCTTTTCTTCTTTGCACTTCCAACAGGTGCCAGCTATCCCTTTGTTAAATTTGGTGAGTTTTTCAGGGGTATAGTACCAGCGGTATAGCATCTTATACCAATTCTCTTTTAGATCATTGGCGGCCGTGTATTTCAATTTTTTATTCCAGATTTCTTCCCATTGGTCGGTGAGGATGCTGTGCCCAATATCCTGTGCCCATTGTATTTGACAGTTTTTAATTTGTTCGTCTTCTGTGGACCAAATTAGGAGTTTTTGATAAATGATTTTGATCAGCTTTTTATCTTTTTGTAAAATTAGTTCCCAAAATCCTTCCTCTTGGTTAAAACCTATTTTACCAACCTCCTTAAATCCTTGTTTAATTTGATAATATTGTAACCAAGTTAATTTTCCATTCAAAAGTTTGAGCTCGTCATAAGATTTTAAAATGAGATCACCGTCCGCGGGGTTTTTTTTAGCATTTGTTTATAACTTAGCCAATTCTCCTCCCCTGTGTCTTGCTTCCATTGGCGATATCCACAAAGGGGTTTTATTATAGAGTTGTAATTTATATTTTTCCCAGGTTTTAATTAATTCAGTTCTTATAAAATGATTACTGAAATCTTTCTCCACTCTCCTTTTGTTATGCCAGAGATAACCGTGCCAGCCGATTCTCAGGTCATGCCCCTCTAGCGTTAGTAATGCCTTATTCTTTAATGTGGCCCATTCCTTAATTCCTACCAGATTGCAGGCCTCATAATATAGTTTGAAATTGGGAAGGCCTAGGCCCCCTCTTCTCCTATCATCGGTTAGCACTTTAAAGTTTACTCTTGGTTTTCCATTTCTCCATATAAATTTGGTGATTTCTTTGTTCCATTTTTTAAATAGGTAGTCATTCCTAATTATTGGTAGTGCCTGGAAAAGAAATAAAAGCTTTGGGAGAATATTCATTTTTAATATTGCAATCCGGCCCATCAATGATATATTTTCATATTTCCATCTCTCCAAATCTTTATGAATTTTATTCCATAAATGTTCATAATTATTCTTTAGTAGTTTTGAATTGCTTTGTGTAATCGTTACTCTTAGGTATTTAACTTTGCTCTCAATCATTATTCCTGTTTTGTCTTGTAACCGTTCTTTTGACTTTTTATCTATATTTTTGACTAGGAGTTTTGTTTTTTGCTTATTAAGTTTAAATCCCGCTAAATTCCCGAATGATTCGATTTTGGTCAGCCAATCATCAATTTTCTTTAATGGGTCTTCGATGATACAAGCAACATAGTCTGCGTAGACTCTTAGTTTGTATTGTTGTTTTTGAATTTTCATTCCCTTTAGGTTATTGTCATTATTTATGTCTCTAATTAAGGTTTCAATTATTAAAATGAAAAGAAGAGGGGATAGAGGGCAGCCCTGACGGGTTCCTTGTGTGATCTTAAAGGGAGATGACTCCTGACCGTTTATAATTAGAGTGGCTTCCTGTCTTTCATATATTGCGTTCACTGCGTTTAGAAAATTGTATCCAATGTCCAATTCCTTTAGTAACAGTTTTAGATAGTTCCAACTCACTTTGTCGAAAGCCTTTTCGGCATCGATAAAGAGTAGTGCCAATTGTTTTTTGTTGTGTGTTTCAAAATATTCAATCGTGTCTATTAAAACCCTGACATTATCTTTAATATGCCTATTGGGGAGGAAACCCGTTTGTTCTTTTGATACCCAATCTTTCAAAAAAGCCTTTAATCTCTCTGACATAATCGTTGCGAATAACTTGTAATCGTTATTTAATAAGGAAATTGGTCTGTAATTTTTGATTTCCTGTGGATCGGTATCGTCTTTGTGTATCAAAATGATATTTGCAATTTCCCATGTTTGGGGGATTATTTTGTTGGCCAATATGTTATTCATGATATCTTTTAGTAGGGGGGTTAACTCGTCCTTAAATGTCTTATAAAAAATTGCCGTGTAGCCATCTGGGCCCGGTGCCTTATTGTTTTTTAGTTTCTGAATTGCGTAGTTTATTTCGTGTGTGGAGATTGGTCCGTTTAGTGTTTCTCTCTGATTGTCCGTTAATTTAGGTAAATTTAAATTGCATAAATATTTCGTGATTTCTTCCTCAGGGGTATCAGTTTTTTTTAATATAGTTTTTGATAAAAATTCAAGAATTGGTTTGTGATACATTTCCCTTCAGTGAAGGTCTTCCCTTCAACATTTATTTTTGTAATTAATTGCTTCTGTTTGCGTTTTTTTAATTTGTTGGCTAACCATTTGCCTATCTTGTTTGCATTTTGGAAATAGTTTACCCTCATATATTTTAATTCTTTTTCTATTTTTTCCATTTGTATTAATTGTAACTGTTTTTTGAGTGATTCCAATCTTAATACTATGTTTTTATCTTTAGGGGGTTTTTTTAGTAAGTTTTCAGCAGTTTCTAAACTTTCAGTGATTTTTTTGAGCTCTTTGTCCTTATTGTTTCTATTAATTGTTTCCTGTTGCATAAAATACCCCCTCATAACAGCTTTCATGGCATCCCATTGGGTATTTTTTTGACGTTTCCTCTCCCTTGTTTAATTCTAGGTATTCTTTTAGTAATTTCCTGTTTCTTTCAATGTCTTTTTCCACTTTTAGTAAGTTTTCTTTTAATTTCCATCTGAGTTTATTGTCAGTTCCTTTAATTGTGAATTCTATTGGACAATGATCTGAATATAACCTTGCTATTATTTTGATCTTTTTGTTTTTTAGTAGTATTAAGTCAGTTGCCCAAGCCATAGCTATTCGAGACCAGGAGTAATGTCTATTCGAATAGAATGTAAAATCCTTTGTAGGCCCATTAATGTGTCTCCAAATATCTCTTAAGTTCAGATTTTTTAAATAGGTTATGAAATTTTTTTGGCAGTAGGCATGTTCTACTTCTGTCAGAAGGTTTTTTTGGAGTTACTATATGATTTGCCTAAGTTCAGATCAACAACTCCATTGAAGTCTCCTAGTAATATCATTTCATCGAACTCCTGTTTGTCTATGTCTTTTTTTAATTGCTTTATGAATTTTTGTTTCAGTCCATTTGGGCAATAAATATTACAAATCAGTACTTTTAGATTCTTTATTTCAATAATAACCCCAACGTATCTACCATCCATATCTTTAAAAACTTGTTTTGGGTTTAACCAATTTTTGATGTATAACACAACTCCTTTTTTCTTTTCGTTGCTTGCCGCATAGAATTCCATGCCCAGCTTTGCTTGAGATAGATGCTTCACATGTTTGCCACAGATATGGGTCTCTTGGAGAGCGATAAGGTTGAGATTCTGTTGTTTAAGGTGATTAAAGATTCTCTTCTATTTACACGGAGAGTTTAGACCATTGACATTGTTGGTATAAACTTGGATGTCTTTACTCATTTGTGTTGTCTTGCACTTCCCATTGGGCAACATCTTGGGGGAGCATCAAATGATAATTCTCTGGTGAGAATTTCCTTAGCCGTTTTAGATCTCTTTCATTTAGTTTGGCTCTTGGTTTGCTACCATCATCTTCCTCTCCTCCAAACAAGCTCGAGGAGCAACATGAACTTGTTGACAGCGAGTATGGGAAAATCAGCCTCGAACAGCATGGGTCAGATCTATATGTCAACCCCAAAGGCCAAACAGCCCATGGCTGATCTCTGCTTCTTTCCAAGACTGAAGGTCAGTGGAAGATGGTCAACCACCTCTCGAAGATCCCTGGCCAATTTGGCCATGGATCAGGTGGAAGACATGGCAGAGGTGGTGGAACCTGGGAGCGAAATGAGCAAGAGCTACAGCAATCAGGAGCCATTGGAGCTGGAAGAAGAGCCCTCGGGTGAGACACAGGACTCGGAGGACAAATCCAGCAATATGCATGAGATAGGCTTTCTTGGGGATGAGTCTTTGTTTTGAAGCACTTCGGAAGGGCCAGCCCTGCTCTTTTTGAGATAATTATCGTCGACAGGAGAAAATACAATATCATTCCTCTATTGCTGGCACACATCCTGAGTTTTCTTCTATTTGCACACTTTTGAGATCTGGAAAGTATAGTGATAAGATGAATTTGAGTTGCTCACTGAACTTTGGCAGAAGTCTTACAGACAATGAAGGATTTCAGCTGTGGCTGGACAGTCACCATAGCTCTGCATCTCATTCTTGGGCTGGAGAAAATGAAGGCAATGGAAGCCTCCAGCCTAGGAAAGATACAATGGAGTCTCAGCTTCTGGAAGGCTTTAACAAGCTTTCCGATGCTTCAATGGACAACTGTGAGGCTTCTTTTAAATATAAGAAGCCAATCAGAAGAATAGTCTCAGACGATAAAGAGGAGCAACATGAACTTGATGACAGCGAGCATGGGAAAATATCAGCCTCGAACAGCATGGGTCAGATCTATATGTCAACCCCAAAGGCCAAAGAGCCCATGGCCGATCTCTGCTTCTTTCCAAGACTGAAGGTCAGTGGAAGACGGTCAACCACCTCTCGAAGTTCCCTGGCCAATTTAGTCATGGATCAGATGGAAGACGTTGCAGAGGTGGTAGAACCTGAGAGCGAAATGAGCAAAAGCTACAGCAATCAGGAGCCATTGGAGCTGGAAGAAGAGCCCTCGGGTGAGACACTGGACTCGGAGGACAAATCCAGCAATATGCATGAGATAGGCTTTCTTGGGGATGAGTCTTTGTTTAGAAGCACTTCGGAAGGGCCGGCCCTGCTCTTTTTGAGATAATTATCGTCGACAGGAGAAAATACAATATTATTCCTCTATTGCTGGCACACCTCCTGAGTTTTCTTCTATTTGCACACTTTTGAGATCTGGAAAATATAGTGATAAGATGAATTTGAGTTGCTCACTGCACTTTGGCGAAGTCTTACAGACAATGAAGGATTTCAGCTGCGGCTGGACAGTCACCATAGCTCTGCGTCTCATTCTTGGGCTGGAGAAAATGAAGGCAATAGAAGCCTCCAGCCTAGGAAAGATACGATGAATTTGAGTTGCTCACTGCACTTTGGCAGAAGTCTTACAGGCTATTTGTATTTGCATGCTTGACCTGTATAGTTCTATTGAATTTAGCATCATGTGGTAAAGGGGGAAACTGCTCTTTTAATTGGGGAAATGGATTTGGACAGCCTTATCCTTATGAATTGAATTCATCTTCAAAGCCTTCTTGTCATCATCTCTCTTGGAGTCTGTTAGAAATATACTTGTATTTACTTTATAAGAAAAAAAATCATTCTGTGTTTCAGAAATCTAGTTCGATTGAACAACAGTCCCAAGGCTTTAGTTAGTTTTCCAAAACCATTCTGTGTTTCAGAAATCTAGTTCGTTCGAACTACAACAGTTTAATGGGGAAAAAATCTCAGTATTTGCAAATACCAAAAAAAAATGTAATTCATCTGGTGTTGGTGTTCTTTGTTGCTTTTATAGTTTCACAGGTTCAATCCTTGGTGTTGTAGTCACGTACAGAAAGATTATTTCTTGTACATGACTACAGCACCACGGATTGAATATGCGATACTATGGAAGCAACAAAGAACACCAATACCAGATGAATGAATTACCAAAAAAAAAATTGAAATTGCTGAAATGTACAAATTAACTTTAATTCTACAATAAGGTAATACACAAAAACTGCAAGAAGAATGGAAACACTTTTATGGATTTATAAAAAACAGAAGAAGGTGATTGCAATGCAATTTGTGAACTAAAAGTATTATGAAATAATACATGTGTATAAGCTGTATAACTTGTATATCTAAGAGGGAAAAGGTTTTAGAAAATTGATGAGTTAATACTTCTGAATTAAAGTAGAAAAAAGTATGTGACTGTGTCAGTACCTGCAGGATTTAGTTAGCAATGTATATAACTCACAAAAGTTTTGTAATTGGCTTTATTACTCAGATCTCTACTGCTCAAGAAAAAAGACGCTAATGGCGGTTTTGTCCAACACCCCTGCTTCTCTTTCGATCTCACTCCCCGCCCCCACTGCCCTTATCGGTCTTTTCCCATTGGAAAAGTTATTCCATCCATCTGTGCTCCAATCGCTGCACCGACTCCCCCTGCCGGCCCCAAGAAGCCACAGGGAAAATATATGGTGACCTCTCAAACACCAGAAAGCAGCTCCTGACAGTATAACTCCAAGAAGGTTGATATTATAGATGTATGCACTTATATAAGAAGATTTATTATGTGTAGATCCTACGTGAATGAGTGATAATTATAATAAATATTTACATGTATATTACTAATCTACTAACAAAAGAAATTAACTTTACTACATGCATGTAGTTGACAGCTATCAAGGGTAGAAAAAATAGAGTTTGAATTAGTTAATGGACAAGATAAGGAGAAAGAATACTAGGGACAAGAATAGAATGGACTATATAAGATCAACGCAGATTTGGAAGGATAATCTGTTACTCTTGTCAGAGAAGATGTTATAGTTGGAACTTTTTTCTTTTACTTAATTCCTCCCTATACTAAATAATATGTATAACAATACTCCCTCCGCCTCTATGTCTTTGAGGATACAATAGACTCATGTGTAGAAATATTTAGCTAACATGGCTCCATAACTTACATACTGTATTCTGTGATGTTTCCCATCTTTCCCTTCCTTTTTCTCTTTTTAAATAGTTTATTTGAATTAAATTGCAAACCCCCCCACAAAAAAAAGAAAGAAAACTAAAAAAAAACTCTTCTCAGTTATTACATCTGATATTGCATCTGCTGGGGTGACTGGGGGAATAGTCCCAAAGCTTTAGTAAGTTTCCAAAACCATTCTGTGTTTCCCTTACTTGCATACCCCTAGTGATGACCTCTTTTGGGGAATGGTGCGGCTATCAGCCAGCCACCTCACCCCACCCCACCACACTCCTGCAAGCCATAGCAACTAAGATACATTATAGAGAACTTCAAGGGAATAGCTGTTGTAGCTATTTTTAAAAATGACATTTAAAAAAAATCCCCAAAATTCCGTAGATGTGTGAATCTTTCTGAAACATGGGGGGGGGGGAATGGTGCCCTGGTTATGTTGTGTCATTCTAGAGAAATTTCAGGAGTTAGGTTTTGTAGTTTTGTACTTTTTATTTTTTTAAATGTAGTTCATAAAAACTTTTTTAAAACAAAACCAAAATCAGTGGATGAGTGAAACATTCTGAGACTTGGGGAAGGGGGTAACAGCAGTAAGTGTGTTCTACAATTTTAGCAAATTTCATCCAGATAGTGGATAATGAAATAATAAATTTTTTGTTACTTCATGATAGTTATGATATGAACCCCTTACAATATTTTAGAAACACTTTAGAAAAAAATAGCAATGAGTAATGGAATTTTTTGTTGCTGATTGCACAACCCTAATACTTACATTTTTTCCACTAAAAACATCCAAGTACTTTATTAATTTTATTTATTTATTTACTTCATTTACACCCTGCCTTTCTCCCCCTCAGAGAAGTCAAGGTGGCTTACAACTCTGATATAATTCAATATCTCTTCCTCTGCTTATTTCAAAATGAATATCTAAAGTATTAAGAACCGGTATATTCCTGAATTATATAAGGGCAGGATCACACATACACACACAAATAAAAACTTTTAACTCGTTATCTTAGTGAATCATCATTTAGACTTCCATTTCCTAGCCTACTGGGTAATTACTGTATTTGTGCTACCACAAATATAGCTTAAGATCAGCATGGCAGAAAAATGAAAAAAAAACTGGTGTCGACTTGACTGATACCTTCATCTCCCATCAATCTGTTTGCTTAATTGATTCCCAGAAAGAAATAATTTCATGTAATTATGAGGATAAGTGGATGATAATGATGACCATAATATACCCAGGATGTTTGTACTCTGCTTGTGCAGCCCCCTCCTAGGCTTTCCAAAAGGTAGAAATGTTACAACTCATCAAATAAATAAAGTGGAACCTCTATTTAAGAGCATCCAAATTTAAGAGCATTTTGAGTTAAGAACTGTTGCTCAGCCCGGGTTTTGCTCTGTGTCTCGTGCTCTTGTCCACTTTGGGAGATTTCTATCCACTTTGCTCTTGTCCACTTTGAGGAACTTTATGTTCGTTGATTTTGTGTTGTTTTTATTCCTGGTATATTTGCCTTCATGAAGACAGAGAAAGGGAGAGAGAACAAGACAGGGAAGGAGGCTGGAATAAGTACAGTATGAAAAAATGATGCTTCTGCCTCTTCACATTGTTATTCCTTGCCACAACTTTGTGTTTTTATTTATTTATTTACCTTATTTATACCTTATTTATACCATTATTTATAATGACAACTGGGATCACAGGCAAGCATGGTCTGGGAGAACAAAATGAAGCGGGACGCAGGCTGATAGAATTTTGCCAGGAAAACTCGCTGTGTATAACTAAACTCTCTTCCAACAACCTAAAAGACGGCTTTATACATGGACCTCACCAGATGGTCAACACCGAAATCAGATTGACTACATCCTTTGCAGCCAAAGGTGGCGGACATCCACCCAGTCGGTGAAAACAAGACCTGGGGCTGACTGTAGCTCAGATCACGAACTTCTTATTGCTCAATTTAGAATAAAACTAAAGAGATCAGGGAAAATACACAGACCAGTTAGATATGATCTCACTAACATTCCTAGCAAATATACAGTGGAAGTGAAGAACAGATTTGAAGGACTAGATTTAGTAAACAGAGTCCCAGAAGAACTATGGACAGAAGTCCGCGACATTGTTCAGGAGGCGGCAACAAAGTACGTCCCAAAGAAAAGGAAAACCAAGAAGGCAAAATGGTTGTCTGCTGAGACACTGGAAGTAGCCCAAGAAAGGAGGAAAGCAAAAGGAAACAGGGATAAGGGGAGATATGCCCAGTTAAATGCGCAATTCCAGAGGTTAGCCAGAAGAGATAAGGAACTATGTTTAAATAAGCAATGCATGGAAGTGGAAGAAGACAACAGAATAGGAAGGACAAGAGACCTCTTCCAGAAAATTAGAAACATTGGAGGTAAATTCAGGCAAAAATTGGTATGATAAGAAACAAAGATGGCAGGGACCTAACAGAAGCTGAAGAGATCAAGAGAAGGTGGCGAGACTATACAGAAGATCTGTATAGGAAGGATAATAATATCGAGGAGAGTTTTGACGGTGTGGTGAATGAATTAGAACCAGACATCCTGAGGAGTGAGGTTGAATGGGCCTTAAGAAGCATTGCTAACAACAAGGCAGCAGGAGACAACGGGATCTCAGCTGAACTGTTTAACAGACATTAATGTTAACTATGATTACTTTAAAAAACACATCAAGTCATGATTTAACACTATATGAACCTACAGCTCCAGGTTCTCCTGACATTGCCCTTTGTGGCGAATCCAAAATAGAAACAAGAACTTCCCAAATCCTTCTCCCAGGTGCACAAAAAGAGGACAGATGAAGGAGGGGAATAACACAATTGTATGACCAAGATGGAAAAAAAATCTTTGGCCTGCCAGTTGTTTTGGTCTACAACTCCAAACAAGAACTGTAACTCAGAAAATATAATATTTTAGTATGTTTTGAAATACATATTGTGATTTCAATTTCAATATCTGTATAAAATATTTGTATTTTTTCTTCAGACGCTCACTGTGAAGGCTTTAGATATTGTCTATAGCTGTACTGAAAACTGAAAATTGAAGTCATGGATTCATATACTAATTTACTGCTACTTGAGAAGAAGAATCATAGAATCAAAGAGTTGGAA